GTTAGCACCAAAATTTATTTGTTTTTTTGCTGTTTTTAATTTTTTTTCTCTTGTTCATATAAACAGTTTTCTTCATAATTTTGGGTATTTTGTCAATCTGTTATGTATTTGGCCACAAAAGACTCTAAAAGCTCTGTTTGTGGTGAGGCATGAAAGTGATAGGTTTCACTAGCACAGGGTCATTTGGCAAAATATTTGTTACCTTATTCATGATTTAAAGCTTAAATAAGTAACAAATAGCTGATGGGTCAGTATTCATAGGTAGACCACATTTTGAGAAGGCGATAGCAGAATACAGTCAGGGACAGGCCTGTTAATGACCAGTTGAAAATTGTACACAACAGAAGGGTCAAATCTCCAGGACCCTTGCTTTACTCCACTTGGCCACACAGATATGATGTTTTACAGCCAATATTGTCTCCTATAAGCAGAAAAATGGAGAATTTTTATCTGAAGGAATTAATGGGAGACTGTGAGGTAGAAGGAATGGGCAGGAGACCGGTAAAGGAAAATATGTGTCGACTACAAATTGAGAGGTTGGGTGGAGGATAAGAAAGATGCAAAATTAAAAGCTTAAAAAAAAACCCTTTCCCAACCTGCTTTCTTCTGCAGAAGACTATAGAGAATTCTTCCCCAGAGAAATTAAATAACCACTGTGAAAAGGGAGGTACTTCTTAGTTGGTTTCTTGTCCATCCCCTTTTATAGCATCTTTTTGCTGATGACTTTAGGTTTTTCCTTGGATTACTATAGGAGCCATCCAAGTGAGTCTGTGGCCCTAGTAGTTTCATGTCCAGTTCAGCCTTTCATTGTTACTAGAGTGATCTTAAGATTGAGTTTTCATTTTAACAGTGTGCTATTTACTTTTGATAGCTCCAAGACACTTTCAATGTGTAATTTAAATTTGTCATTGAAATCAGTCTTTTACTGTTACCACAGCCCTTCACTTATCCTTCTAACAAAACAAGCTATTTGTAATTTCTAAAGACATCTGTTCACCTTCTTCTTTGCCCTTGTAGATGTTATACCTTTTGCCAGAATTTTTCTTCTGTTGATCTGTTTCTCCTTATCCAGGCTTTCCTCCCATAACAATAACTAACATTTATTGAGTTATCTCCTTTGTGATAACTCTTTATAGGCATTCAATGATGGGGGATTCTACTATCTTCATTTTATGTATAAAGAAATTTGAGGTATAAGTAGGTTAGATAACTTGCCTTCAGTCACATTACTGTTTCTTCCCCCCAGTGATGTGGATCAAAACTAGGACCTCAGGCATGCATCTTAGGCAGGTGCTCTACCACTGAGCTGCACCTCCAGGCCCATTCAAGTCACTGTTAAGTGACAGATTCAGAATCTGTCTTCCAATTTTTTAACTACAACAATATGATTTCCCTTTTCACTCCAGCTAGGTTCTGTTTTTGTACTTCTTTGTAGTATGCCATGCTTGATGCCAAATGCAGGTTATTAAATCATGTTCTTACTCTAAAATGCTTTTAATCTCTACTCTCTTTATTCCAATTCTACCTTCCTTAAATTTCCCATAGCAACTTTTGTTGTACCAGCTACCTGGAGAGTCATTTCTGCCTGCAGTTCAAATGTACTATTATGTGAGTTTATAATCCTAATTAGACTATATGCTCCAGAAAGCCAGGACTTTAAAAAATACCTCCCAGCATATTATAAATTGTTTCATTCACAATAGATAGCCAGTAAATTCTTGTTCAAAAGGGAGTGACTCATTTTTTTTATGAAATGGTGTATATCATACATTAAGGACTCAAGAGCCAGAGATAAAGATTATTAGCCCAACCCTTTAATATTAGTGAGGAATAACTGAGGCTTGCAATTGAATAAAATTATTTACTCAATAATAAATAAAATACTATGTCAACTAAGAGACAGCAGATGCTTCCTGATTTCCAAAGGTGATCCATGCAATTATGTGATGGTCAAATAAAATATGGAATTACAGTGTAGTACTCTCTTTATCTAACCAGTAGTTTTTATACACTAAAATTCGTATGAAGCTGTTCTATATTATTTTGTCAAATTGGAAGTAGATTAATTAGGTTCTAGAATCACAAACATATGCACATATGTCAAGATTACAAAAAATTCTGGTTTCTTTCTGTTTTTATGCTTTATGGATGCTGTAGGTAGGATGAAATCAGGGTGGTTATGTTTTTTAAAGGAAAATAAGGATTGGGTAGCTGCTTTGTTAACTTTGTAATTGTGAAATATTCACATCTGATATTAGTAAACAGTCTTAACACTATATCTCATTTTCTATACATCTACATAGAATATTGCCAATTCTGTTATACTTTTATGAGTCTTCTGAAGGCAGTGTTTTCAAAAGAGCCGTTCTATAATATTCCAGACAGAAATATCACAGAAAAATCCAAACATGTTTAGGAAAGGAGTTTATTTTGAAAGTAACATGGTTCTGAGAATAAATTGATCTGATAGTAAATTTCAAGTATGCCTAAGAGGATCCAATAAATTTTGGTAGGCACCCACACAAATTTCATCCAGTTTTCTGACACAATTTACAGAACAGGAGCAAGGACAGGAATCCTGGGACTGAATTACTTGGAAGAGTCCATCAAGTATTAAGAAATATTTTTTTWAAAAAAATTACTCTCAATAAGTTCATTCTTTTATGCAGTATGCATTCATTCATCTAATATTTATGAAAAATTTTCTATGTAACCAATTACAATTCTGGGGCTGGTGATACACAAGTGAATAAAGCAGAGTTTTGAGGATAGTCATATTATCTAACTTAGATTCTTAGAAGGGTAATTGCTGCATGGAATAGATGAAGAGTAGTTGAAGAGTGGAAAGATGGAAACCAGTTAAAAGGGCCATTGCAGTAACCTGAGCAGAACATGCTGATGGCTTGGCATGGAGTAATGGTAGCATTGGCCTCAGGTTTAAGATGCTCACTAGACATTCAAGTGGAGAGGTTTGGCCTCAGGTTTAAGATGCTCACTAGACATTCAAGTGGAGAAGTCTTGAGTTAAAGGTAAATGTCAGTCTGGAAATTGTCACACATGGGAATTGTCATCACATGAGTGGTATTTCAAGCCATGGAATTGATAAGTTCACCAAAGAGATGAATACAGAAAAAAGGGAAGATGTTTTTTTTTTTTTTAATGTCTAGAGAATGAGGATCCAAGAAAAAACTAAAAGGAGCAGTCACTGAAATAAAAGGACTAAAAAAGTATGAAATAGCCTTGTTAAAATCAAACTCAAAACTATACATACAGTGTTACACTGTATCACATTTATGGCGTATTTTCAATTTAAAAAATATCTTGAGGGGAGTGGTCAACTATATTATATGTTGCTGATGGAGAAGTTGAAAACTAAAATTGACAGTTTAATAACATAGAAGCTATTGATGGACCCTAACAACAATAAAAACCTTTAAATGGGATAAGAAAAAAAATTGGGAGGAGAGGAAAGGAGACAAGTATAAAGAAATCTGCATGTGCCTTATTTTGAAGAAGAGAAATGGGATGGTAGTTAAATTTAGGAATGTGTTTATGGAATGAAGCAGTAAAAAGAAAATTGCAGTGCACTCAGTGACAGGAATATTGGGATCTGCATCTACTTTAGGATCTGTTTAATGTGAATCCTTTGTTCTTTTTGTTAGAGCTTTCTAGATCTGTCAACCAGTAAATATTCATTCATCTGTTGGTTAATGGGTATCTAATGATATCCATTAACCAACAGATGAATGAATATTTACTAGAGAATTGGTAAGAAATACACAATCTCTGTTCTTGGGAAGTTTTTATCTAGTTGGATAAATGGAGAAAACATAACACAACTTGAACAAGTTCAAATTATAGGCAGTAAAAAGTTCTCACAGTGTGTGATAACTGTGCACAAAAATTTGACTACAGTACATAATGCAAAGGGGGTAGATACCAGGTTCTCTTACCAGGTTCTCTGAGAAGGATGTGAATCAAGTATTTATAAACCTTGATGAGTTAGAGAATTTGAATTGAGACGTGTAACCTGGTGAACCAATTAACATAGTGGATTGTGGGGGCGGGGAACCCTAAGGGCTAGAAGAAATAATTTTGTCAGCTTTAATCCACACATTATACCTTTGCTAAATCCATATTAGTTTCTGCTTGGAATGGCAATGGAATAATTTATAGGAGTCTAAAAAGGTGGAAATATTTACTGTAGAATGATAGGTATTTTCAGTTGTACACACTTAAGTGTGAACACAAGGAATAAAGCAAGACTGATGGAAGATATATGGGCAGCCCATCTGTACAATAATCGCCATCTGACAATTCCAATCATGGAATATAGTGCCCTGCTAAATCTGAAAGAGCAAGACTTGAATCTAGATTTGCCATCCTTTTCCTGACCTCCACCCAGCTCCAATTAAACTCCTCTTTTCAGCATTTCCCCAGAATCAATCGAGTGAGCTGCTTCCACAGTTTGGGGACACTACGGAAGAACTTCCTACTTGGGGAGTTCAGCAGCAAGATGAAAAAAATCCTGACATGGCTCTTTCCAGCAGTATTCTCAAAACAAGGAACGTTAACACCTCACGACAGTTTCCTAGGTGGAAAAAACCGGATTGTGTCCGTGCTCTCTTTTTGTTTCTAAACAATGGTTGTGAAATCGGATGAAATACACAAGATAACACGGACACAATCCGGGTTTTTCCTCTCAGGTGTACACCGCCTTCAAAACACTCGTTTTCTCTGATAGCCTAATTTCACAATTTTATCTACGCTTGTTGAACTACTTAAAACATCCCACACCGCCATTCTGGTCCCAAACATCTTGGACTCTTTTTGGAACTGCCACAGAAAAACTCAGGAAGAGCTCACGGGAAGTAAGCGGCGGGCCGGCCGGCCAGCTGGGGCGAAAGCAGCCGGAACACGCCTATCCCTTTCCTCCGCTCTCTATGGTTAGGCGTAAAGCCCCGCCTCTGCACAGACCGATTTCTGTTCTTCGACGCCTGCGCCAGGCGAGGAGGTAGTTCCGGTTCCGGCGTGGTTAATTTCGTTCTTGGCGTTCAGTTGTCGCGGTTGGTGGGCAGTAAGGGTGGCAAGATGCTGCGGAATCTGCTGGTAAGTAGCTGCTCGGTTTGCTTTAGTAATGAGCATGGGAGCCGAGAGTGGAGGCCAAGGTCTGTGACCAAAACTCTCCTGGAAGTGGAGCAGAAGACGTCTTCTGAAGTCACCTTGTTCCGTGTCCTTTTCGCCTGACCTTTTTCCCCATTCGTTCCTTCCCTTAGCCCCTGGCCGTTGCTGGGTGGGGAGGGAAGAGCCTGAGAAGCTGGACAGAATTGCGGGTTAGACCACCTTGGGTTCTTAGCCACTGCTTCTAATTAATGGTTCACTGAAGAGGTTGTAGCTGATGTGAGTAAAATCAAGGGTTCCTGGTGAAAAATTTCTGACAACGGGAAACACTAGGGTTCCTCTGCTGCTAAAGGTTATAAGTTTCAATGATTCTGAGCTTATGAGTTCCAGAGGCGGTTTTAAAAACAAGTCATCCGGTTTTGGATAGGACTTTGGGAAGCAGTCCCTTCCCGCGGTTCTGCGTTGCCCCCCCAGGCCTCTATCTTCCGACTTTGAGTATGTGAAATGTTTTCCAAAAATTTGAAAAAATAGCAATGATCATTTTCTTTTATAGTTATTTAACAGTGTCTTACTTAGCTCCTCAATACCATTTATTTTAGAAAGTGGAATACATGTTTATTTCGTTATTTAAACTAAGTATGTAATACAAGTTTTTTTGCGGGGTGGTGGAAGGATTGTGCCGGGGATTGAACTTAGGGGCACTCAATCACTGAGCCACATCCCCAGCACAATTTTATATATTATTTAGAGACAGGGTCTCACCGAGTTACCTATCGCCTTGCCATTGTTGAGGCTGGTTTTGAACTCGTGGACCTCCTGCTCAGCCTCGGGAGCCACTGGGATTACAGGCGTGAGCCAAATCTGTGCCTGGCATGTAATGCAAGTTTTTTTTTTTTTTTAAATATCTATTAAAAATTTCTTAGGAGGCTGGGAGTGGTAGAGCACTTGGCTGGCATGCATAAGATCCAGGTTTGAGCCCAGCACCACACACCCACACTAAAAATCTTAAGAAAAATGTAATTAAGGGAACGTTTTGATTAATTAGGAATGTTATTGGTTTATTTTGCTGTCTAGTAATCAACTCTTCATATGGAAGGATATTAAATGGAAACATTTGAGTTTAGACTATTTTAGTTAACCATTTATTTCTGTAATATTTATATATTAAAATATTTTCCTTAAGGATTATAAAAAGCTACTGATTGAATTCAGCCAAAGACATGAATATGATCTTTGGAGACTGCAGAATGTAATATATGAAGAACAGAGCAGAGGATAGACAACAAATTGAAAAATCTGGATTCTGGTCCATAAACTTTATTGTTGATAAATCAGATATGCTTCAAGACTCATTTCCTTCTATAATGTTAAATATGAAAGTGATTTCTTCTCAAGGTTTCTTTAGGCCCTAAATATGTTTAATGTTTGTGGATTTTCTGTTTCAGCGTTTTCGTCAGATTGCCCAAARGACCATCAGCACTACTTCACGCAGACATTTTGAAAATAAAGTTCCAGAGAAACAAAAGCTGTTTCAGGTACTGAAATATTTTATAGGAGATTGTTACTTGTAGTAATTAGAGTACCAAAAAGTTGAAATGAGAAGTAAATCTGGAGAGTCTGCTGTAAGAGGTCCTCCTGTATTAGCAAAAGAATGATAAGAAATTTTTGGTAGCTAACTGAGCATTTGCTATATCCAAGAGGCCCTTGAGCAATTAGAAAAAAATGAGTGAAAGGTATAGATCAATAATAAATTGTTTTGGAGGAGTTCATTAGCATTCTTTAGGGAGTAATTGCATGGGAGCATACAGAGAGACCACAGAAAGGACCCAGAAACACAGCAAGTATTATATAGAAATTTAATATATGTTGAAAGCTATAGCCACAGGAAAGGATGCAATAAATTAGTATTGACAAAAATAACTATTTTAAAGAAAGGAAGGTTAGATTCCTTCTACATAGTATACTAGGAAAATAAATTACATATGTAAATATTTTCCCTCAAAAAATTATATTTATAATCTTAGGGGAAGTCTTCTAAGTTAATCTTTATAAAACTGAGAAGCAGTAAAGAAGAAAAATTGCATGGTTTGGTGATTTAAGATTTATTTATAGTTAACCAAAGACAAGGCACAAATTGAGAGCAAAATGTCAAAATATAGCAAAAGGTTAATGTCCTTAGTATACAAAGAACTCCTATGAAATTCAATAAGAAATACAGGTTTAATTCATCACAGCCACCAGCCAAGAAAGAGATGCATACTCCTTTGGAGCACTGGAATAGGTGCTAGGCACCATTTACCTTACTGCCTCTCTGCCGTAGTTGCATTCTAGATAGGTAGAAGCATTGTTGGCCATGGATTGTGCCTTTGCCTGGAAACAAAACATGGTCTGTCCTCTGGAGAATCACTATTGGTTGAGTGTGCCCTGCCTAAACATGGAGTAGGAGTATTACTATGCTATGGTAGATGGAACTCAGACCTTCAAAGTCATTTTCTTCCTCTCATAGATTTATTGTAGATCAGCTCAGTCATTTCAATGTCACCAGGAAATTGTCTTGGCTTGGTGTGGTGGTTCACGGCTGTAATCCCAGTAACCCCAGTAATTTAGGAGGCTGAGTCAGAATGATTGTAAGTTTGAGTCCATCCTCAGCAATTTAGCAGAATAAAATAAAAAGGACTGGGGATGTGCCTCCATGACAAGTGACCCTGGGTTTAATTCTCAGTACCACAAAAAAAGAAAAAGAAAAAAAATGGTCCTATCCCTGAGCCCTCACCCCTCAGGTTGTGTAGTTCATGGGACTGCCCTAGTTTAACCTGTTCCTAGAACTGAAACAACGGTAGGTTCTATTAAAATGTGAACCTTTGGACCACAGTCTTATTAAAATAAACAAACATGAATTTAAAAAAATTAAAAATTGCTACTGCCCCCATCTGACTGGCAAGATTTTAGGAAACTTTAAAATAGGTTATGTTAACCAGGAATGGGAGATGTATGCATTCATCTACCATACTTTTATAATAGCAGTAAAGTTGGTACAAAAGTTTTAGAGGGTATATGAAAGTATTATTAAAAAGAAATTACATACCTTGTCATCTAGGAAGCCTACTTTTAAGACTATTTCCTTCAGAAATAATTGTGTAAGTATGTAAAAATGGGAATGAGGATCTTAATTTACGGGGGAAAAAACCCTAAAACCTGACAACCTAAATATCCATTAAGAAGATTAACTAATTCAGGTTAAGATATTTTGGCATAGTGGAATACCATGTAGCCATTGAAAAGAATAAGATAGGTTTGAAGTACTGAGCAAAAAGAAATAGTGTATGGCAGATGATTATATAGCATAACCTCATTTTGTGTGTTAAGTTTGTGTTTATATTAGAATTAATGATGTAAGCATTAAAAAAGATCTATATCATACTGTGAATGGTGACTATCTCTTGGGAAAAGGCCTAGGAGAGTAGAACAATTTAACAGATTAGGAAAACAGAAAAGATTAACAAAATTGAGCTGTTATGCAAACTTTTATTGCTTTTTTTTTTTAACTAAGAAGAAAAATAAATAAGACAAATAAATACAATCAGAAATTTTAAAAAGACATAACAACCGAGACCACATAAATGCAAAGGACCCTAAGAGACTACTTTGAAAAATTACATGACCACAGATTAGATAACCTAAAAGAAATGTATAAATTCCCAGATACACAGCCTATCATTTGAACCAGGAAGATGCAGAAAATATAAACAGACCAATAATAAGTATAGAGATTGACCCAATAATGAAAAGTCCACTATCAAAGAAAAATTCGGGCCCTAATGGTTGCATTATTGAATTTTACCCAACATTTAAAGAACTAGTTGCCAATTCTCAAGTTGTAGAAGAACTGAGCTGGGCACAGTGGTGCACGCCTGTAATCCCAGCAGTGATAAAAAATGTATACCATACCACATAAAATTAAAATATTTTATTTAACAGATATACTGAATATCTCTTCTGTGCCAGAAGCTGGAAGAGATGCTCGGCTTATAAAATTTAGGATTATAAACCAAAATCCCATGTCTGTCCCCTTCATTTTTTTAGGATTAAAAAAGTCTTTATTAGTATATTATAGTTCTATATAATATTGGGGTTCATTTTGACATAATCACACATGCGTGGAATTTGCTCCACTTTAGTCCCCAGTACGTCCTCTTTCCCTTCTCTCCTATTACTACTGGTTTTCCTCCCATTTATTTATACATATGTATATATTTTTAAATTGGTGCTTTATTGATATACATGAAGTTGAAATTCACTAAGGTATATTTTTATATGTACATAGCCTACTTCAATTTGCTCAATTTCATTTTGCCCTTCTTCCCTTTTCCAGCCCCCCACCCCAACCCCCCACCAGTTCCCTTCCTCTTCTCCACTGATCTCCCTTCTATTTTCATGGAATCTTCCCCACTCCCCTTCCTTATTTGGTTTAGCTTCCACATATGAAAGAAAACATTCAGCCTTTGAATTTCTGAGTCTAACTTCCATCCATTTCCATCCAGCAAATGACATAATTTCATTCTTTATGGCTGAGTAGAATTCCATTGAGAAATCTCCATACTGTTCTCCAAAGTGGCTGTGCTAATTTATAGTCCCAAGAATATATGAGTGAACTTTTCCCCCTACATCCTTGCCAGCATTTGTTGTTATTTGTGTTCTTTATGATTGCCATCCTAACTGGAGCAAGATGAAATCTCAGGGTAGATTAGATTTGCATTTCCCTGATTCCTAGGGATGTTGAATATTTTTTTATATATTTGTTGGCCATTTGTATTTCTTCTTTTGAGAAGTGTCTGTTTAGTTCTTTTGCCTGTTTGTTAATTAGGTTGGTTTCTTAGTGGTAAGTTTTTTGAGTTCTATATACTGGATAATATTTATCAGAGATCCCTGCTTCCACTTTTAAGAAGAACTTTCTACAACTAAATTTAAGTATGGTGATTAAAATAAGAAAGTTAATTTTAAGGAGTTCATATTTTAAAAATAGTAGCAGAGAATAATCAAAATTGGAGCCCTTTTAGATTTGTGATATTTAAATATTTAAATTCCATGGTTTTAAAGAGTTGTTTCATTTTATATGAATGATTAATCTTTTGAAACTTAGTTGAAAACAAGACACACATTTATTAATCTCTTTTTTTCTTTTAACCTAGGAGGATAATGGAATTCCGGTGCATCTAAAGGGTGGAGTAGCTGATGCCCTACTGTATAGAGCCACCATGGTTCTTACAGTTGGTGGTAAGATATTTGGAATATTTGATTGTTCATAGATAAGTAATAGTAATGTTATTTAATTTTTACTTATACAAAGTCCTATGATAATTTTTCAACGTATTAGGCAGGTCCATTAGTTAATATGAGCAGGCATGTCACAAGTTGGTGTAGTAGGAGCATAGTTAGGAATTTGAATGATTGCTGTTTGGGGAAGGAAGGAAACAATATTTTTGTAGTTACTGTGTCTTCATCATTTTGATCAGAATGCCACATACTTGAATTTTTATAACCCTTGAATGGGGTCTTTCATGTGTCCTTATTTTAAGAATGAGAAAATTACATTAGTCATCCGATAACATTGCATCTATGTGGAAAAGCTGGGATTTGAACTCCTAATTACAAACTCCTTATGCTCATCCCAAGGTAACTTCTTTTAACTTGAATACATCTAAAAGTAGGTGGGGCATTTATGGATTAAGACAAAAACCGGTTAGTGACATTTGGATTTTCTTAATAAGATAATGTCCTATGTTCTTTTCAGAATATAATTATTTCTTAGACATTCTGATAATAAGTTTTAAAAAATATAACTTCTTATATTAGCTGTTTTGTTATTTTAAAATCTCATTATTCATCTTTGGTTTTATGTTGATAACACACTTCAGGGAATACATGCATATTGACAGACACCTTCCTTTTTTTTGTCTTTTGAATAATTTTTAGCATTTCTCAGGCAATGTTAGATTAATATGGAAATAACCTTTATGTATATTCTTAATCTCATTCTTAAAACAGTTTACATTTATTATTAAGTTGACAAAATACATTTTTTCTTTTCAAAGAGAGAGAGAGAGAGAGAATTTTAATATTTATTTTTTAGTTTTTGGTAGACACAACATCTTTGTTTGTATATGGTGCTGAGGATTGAACCCGGGCCACACGCATTCCAGGCAAGCGCACTACCACTTGAGCCACATCCCCAGCCCAGAATACATTTTTTTTTTAAACAGCCAACCTTTTTAAAAAAATTTTTAGTTTTAGGTGGACACAATATCTTTATTTTACACTTATGTGGTGCCGAGGATCAAACCCAGTGCCTCGTGCATGCTTAGATGAGCACTCCACCACTGAGCCACAACCCCAGCCAACATTTTTTTAAATATTTATTTTTTAGTTAGAGGTGAACACAATCTCTTAATTTTATTTTTATGTGGTGCTGAGGATTGAACCCAGTTCCTCACACATGCTAGGTGAGCACTCTACCTGTGAGCCACAACCTCAGCCCAAGAATATATTTTTGTATAGAAGTTAATATTAAAACTAATGAAATGTATTTTACATATATTTATTTTAAAATTTTGCCAGTATCAATCAAAATACATTAATGTAATCTTAATGCCATCTTTGCCATATAATTTTTGAGCTGGAATGTGAAGCTTACATTCATTTAAATTCAGAATTTCTTGTAAGTTGTTTTGTTTGTTTTTCAGGAACAGCTTATGCCATATATGAGTTGGCCAAGGCTTCTTTTCCCAAGAAGCAGGATTGACTTCAGTCTTCTCAGCAATCATTTGGTTCATTTTAATTCAGCTCTCTATGGACCAGTACTCTAAATAACAGAGCTCTTCTTTGGGGATCAATATTTATTGACTTGTACTAACTGCCACCAATAAAGCAGTCTTTACCATGCTTTGTCTTGTTTTTATCACTTAAGGGTAAATTACACCAATAATCCAGTTTTTGATTAGCACTTACAAATCTTAGGTAAGAAGCAAAAAATGATTCTTTTGTCCTTAAGCTTATATAGATCACCATTCATTTGATGGTATTATAGTGAAGTTTTGCATTTAGCACCTGAGAACTATACAATGAATGGTCTTAATTTCAGTTAAGCCTAACACTTTCAAGCATATTGCTTTCTTTTTTCCCCCTTCTGCTGGAACCTGGGCATAGTAGAATCAAATTATATTTGGACCCTAGGATCTAAGTTTGTTTTATGTCAGAGTGTGTTTAAATATTGTATATATTCCATGGTTTAGACTTGGGCTTTAATAGAATGACTGTAAAAAAATTTAAGATTTTTTTCTCATACTCAGAATTGGCTTTTACTATGTTAATCTATGATATTAAGTATAAAGTAGTTTGTTTCCAAAAGTTATCTTCTGAAGGAACATAGGGAGTCAAAGTTTGTTATAGTCTCCTCTGCAAGGTATAGATTTGTAGTACTAAATGAAATTGGAATTTAGTTGAGTCTGGGGGAAAGCTACGAGGAAGAGCTTTATATTAAGAAAAATATGTTTGGAAAAATTGAGTCATTTTTTGCTATCAAAACATTGATGCTTATGGTACAGATCTTGAAAGTAACCAATTACAGATTTTTAGCCTTAAACCTCTGAGGTTGAAAGGATTTGGGTGGCCAATTTTCTGCCTGCATACTTTTGGGGGGAGTGGAATAAACATGGTTAGACATTTGTAAAAACTGAAGAACTTGCAAAATTGGACTGGAATTTGAGCTAATTCAGTACTCAAGAGCAAAAAAATAATCAATGATAATATTTTGAAATAAACTACAGTATTTTATAAAGAAAAATTTAACTTTTGTGAATGTAATTTAAAATTTCTTAATGATGTAATGTGAAGGACACTTGTGGAAAAGAAAAACAGCTTGATTATAACCTTCATCTCTTGAAAATGTGACAGGTGCTTTACTATATATCTGGCTTAAATCAGTAAAACAATATATAAAACACTTCTAGTAAGTTTTTTTTTATGCCAAAATATTCTTTTTGGGCTATGTTAACATTGAAAGGATTAGGTAAACTTAAGTGTTGAAGAGACTTAAAAAGTCTTAGGCTAACTACTTGCCCTTCACCCTAAAATTCTGCATTGTAAGCATAGGTGGAATTGGAGGTAAGGGTGAAGGGCAAGATCCCAGAAGTGGTTGCTGGACAGTATCCCATGTCTGCTCACTTCATAGCATTCAGAAAGAAGTATTACTGATACATTTTAGAGATTAGCCCAGAATCCATGAAAGGAGTCTGTAAGTTGTATTGAAAAATGCAGGAAACAATGACCATTGTTACAATGTCAAATCTTGATCCTTTTGGGTTCATAAGTATGATGATTGGGTGTTCATACTGTATGTTTTGAGATTTGCCTCCCTCCAAATCTTGTTAAGATGTCAGCACCTTACCTGTCTGATGTAAAAAAAAATCTCAAGTCTTTCCAGTATATCATCTTACCAGTTTGATTAAATATTGACTGGGCTGTGTTGATAGTTCACTGTTAATAGCAATGTGTGCAAATATGAAAACCTAGAGACTCCTGTCTCCCTGTACAGTCTGTTTTTAGTACTGTTTTCAGTGCCATCATTCAGTTTCTCATTGATCTCTAATTGGCTGTCTGCCCTACCTGTAGAGCCTTATCTCTTCTTCCATCTTGTATTTGAAATGCAGTCTCAGTGCTGTCACCACTGAGACTTCTTTCTGGTGCATACCATCCTTATTTTTTCTCACACACTTGGGGATGCTCCCCAGATTGTACTGTAAACTTGGGCTCCTCCCATGTTTCAACATGCACCAAGTGTTCCCTGTACTCATTTCCATCAAGAGTTTTCATCCTTTTGAATTAGAATTGACAAGACCAGAAACCATTGTAACTGGTTAGTTTCAAACCTTGGAATTCCCTAAGTAGGTAACCTTGCTAAGTCTTTTCCTCATCAGTATAGGCCTGACATATCCCAGGTGTGCATGATGTGTGTGTGTGTATATGGTACTGGGGATTAAATCCAGAGATGGTTCTACCACAACACTACATCTCCAGCCCTTGTTATTTTTTGAGACAAGGTCTCAATAACTTGCCCACGCCAATCTCAAACTTGTGCACCTGCCTCAGGTTCCTAAGTGGCTGGAATTGCAGGTGTAGGCCACCGCATCCTACTAAACATTTGATATTCCTATTAACTCTGAGAGCAGGAACCACATCTTTTCTTATTCTATCAGCTTTTTTTTTTTTAATTGGTTGTTCAAAACATTACAAAGCTCTTGACATACCATATTTTATACATTAGATTCAAGTGGGTTATGAACTCCCATTTTTACCCCAAATACGGATTGCAGAATCACATCGGTTACACATCCACATTTTTACATAATGCCATATTAGTAACTATTGTATTCTGCTACCTTTCCTATCCTCTACTATCCCCCCTCCCCTYCCCTCCCATCTTCTCTCTCTACCCCTTMTACTGTAATTCATTTCTTTCCTTGTTTTTTTTTTCCCATTCCCCTCACAACCTCTTATATGTAATTTTGTATAACAATGAGGGTCTCCTTTCATTTCCATGAAATTTCCCTTTTCTCTCCCTTTTCCTCCCACCTCATGTCTCTGTTTAATGTTAATCTTTTCCTCCAGCTCTTCCTCCCTGTTCTGTTCTTAGTTGCTCTCATTATATCAAAGAAGACATTTGGYATTTGTTTTTTAGGGATTGGCTAGCTTCACTTAGCATAATCTGCTCTAGTGCCATCCATTTCCCTGCCAATTCCATGATTTTGTCATTTTTTAGTGCTGCGTAGTACTCCATGGTGTATAAATGCCACATTTTTTTTTTATCCATTCATCTATTGAGGGGCATCTGGGTTGGTTCCTCAGTCTAGCTATTGTGAATTGTGCTGCTATGAACATCAATGTGGCAGTATCCCTGTAGTACTCTCTTAAGGTCTTCAGGGAATAGTCCGAGAAGGGCAATAGCTGGGTCAAATGGTGGTTCCATTCCCAGCTTTCCCAGGAATCTCCATACTGCTTTCCAAATTGGCCGCACCAATTTGCAGTCCCACCAGCAATGTACAAGAGTACCCTTTTCCTCAACTATAGTAAGGGCTGGTAGTTCCGGTTCACAGTTTCATTCACGTACTAGATTCCTTTTGTCTTTTGGCTCTGTTGTTCGTAGTTTATGGTCTTCATCCTTGTTGTGAGATGGATGTTTAATTCCAGCTATCTTATTCATGTTCTAGCATGAAGAAGGAAGGGTGAGGAGTGCATGCTAAATAAATGAGCTTTTTTTTAAAGCCCAACACAGACTTCAGCTCTTATCTCTTGGGCTCTAGCTTTGTAACATGATCATGCCTGGATTTAAGGATGCTAAGCAAAGTTGGAATTTGGTTTAATGAGACCTGAAGGTTGTTTGGCAATTAGCAGTCTTTGTGGAGCTTGTTTGTTTTTTTAAAGAATGTAGTCAACATGTGGAGGAGGCAAGACCTTGGGGCATTTTGGGTCCTAGCTCAACTCATTTCTGATTCCAGAACCAATGCCTGCTCTTATGGCTTGTTGGATTCCATTGGCCAGTAATGTTTCCCTTGTACATTGAATTACTACAGTGAGGTTTTTCTAGTCACGAATCAACCAAAACAGAATTTTTTGGACTTTGTAGCTATTCTATCTAAAGGAACTCTACCAGTTACACTAAATAGTGTTCAGTGCTCAATAAATAGTAGTCATTGGTTTCTCAAAACAGGAATGGTTTGAAAAAAATATATATATATATAGAACACAAAATGCAATTGAACAGAGAATACATATACAAATGATGGAAACAAGAATTAGGATATAGCTATAGACAGTTTTGTCAGTTCAAAACCCTGCTATGACATAGCTGGAAGTGTCGTATGTTTCAGCTTGGAACTCTCTTTCTGAGCCCTTCTAAGCATTCATGTGGACAGTGTCATTTTGTAAACCGCTATCCAGGACTTTTCCTTGTATCTATATATCAAGATTTGTAATTCATGTAAGCATATATCGAGTCCCTATAGCGTACCATTGTTCTAAGTTCCTGTGCGTCAGTGAACTAGCAGATTTTACATTGTAGTGAGGCATTATGCAGCTCAGCTGAAATAATAAATTTGTGATAACTTGGTTTCCAAATCAAGCCTTTTAATGGTCAGAACTTTTTATTTTTGGCTACAATAGATAATTATTAAGTATGCTGAGAAAGAAAAATACATTGACTTCTACAGAATACCAATAAGAACAAAACATGTTATCAAAGACATGCCTCAGAGATATTGCAGATTGGCTTCCAGATTTAACTAAAATTAAGTGAATAGCACAAGAAAGCAAATCATATGAATGTTTTGGTTTCCCAGGGCATATAGAAGTTATTTGTTATATTGTAGTCTGTTAAGTGCCCAATAGCATTATGTCTAAAAAATGTATATACCTTGAATAAAAATGCTAAAAGTACTAATGATCATCTGAGCTTTCAGGGAGTCATAACCTTGTTGCTGATCTTGCCTTAGTGTTGATGACTGCTGACTGATCAGGCCGGTACTTGCTGAAAGCTAGGGTGGCTATGGCAATTTCTTAAAATTAGACAATGATGGGGCTCGGGATATAGCTCAGTTGGTAGAGTGCTTGCCTTGCATGCACAAGTCCCTGGGTTCAATCTCCAGCACCAAAAAGAAAAAAAAAAATATTAGACAGTATTGAAGTTTTTAGCAGTGATTGACTCTTTTTTTCATGAAAGATCTCTTGTTAGCATGTGAAGGTATTGGAAAGTTTGCTACCCATAATAGAACTTCTTTCAAAATTTGAGTAAACCCTGCCATTGCATTTTCAACTAAGTAATATTCTAAATCATTTGTTCTTATTTCAACAATGTTCATAGCATCTTTACTAGAAGTAGATTCTATCTA